TCCTAGGAGTGGAATTACTGGGCCAAATGATATTTCTATTTTTAGTTTTTTTGAGGAATCTCTGTAGTGCTTTCCACAACGGTTGCACCAATTTACATTCCCACCAAAAGTGTAGGACGGTTCCCCTTTCTTTGCATCCTTGTCAGCATTTGTTGTTTCTTATCTTTTGGATAGTGGCCATTCTAACTGGTGTGAGGTGATCTCATTGTGGTTTTAATTTGCATTTTCCTGATGACTGGCGATGTGGAGCATCTTTTCATGTGCCTGTTGGCCATCTGTATTTCTTCTTTGGGAAAGTGTCTGTTCAGATCCTCCATCCATTCCATTTATTATTCAGGTTGTTTTGTTTTTTGAGTGTTGAGGCATATGTGTTCTTTATATATTTTGGATGTTAACCCCTTATCATATTAAGTCATTTATGAATACATTTTTCCATACACTTAGATGCCTTTTTGTTCTGCTGATGGTGTCCTTTGCTGTACAGAAGCTTTTTAGTTTGATGTAGTTCCACTTGTTCATTTTTTATTTTGTTTCCCTTGCCCGAGGAGATGCATTCAGGAAAATGTTGCTCATGTTTATCTTCAAGATATTTTTTGCCTATGTTTTCTTCTAAGAGTTTTATGGTTTCTTGACTTACATTCAGCTCTTTGATCCATTTAAAGTTTACTTTTGTGTATAGAGTTAGACAATCCAGTTTCATTCTCTTACATGTAGCTGTCCAGTTTTGCCAACACCAGTTGTTGAAAAGGCTGTCATTCCCCATTGTATATTCATGGCTCCTCTATCATATTAATTGACCATATATGCTTGGGTTTATATCTGCACTCTCTGTTCTGTTCCTTTGATCTATGGGTCTGTTCTTGTGCCAGTACCAAATTGTCTTGATTACTGTGGCTTTATAGTATAGCTTGAAGTCAGGAAGCGTAATCCCCACAGCTTGTTCTTCTTTTTCAGGATTGCTTTGGCTATTTGGGGTCTTTTGTGGTTCCATATGAGTTTTTGAACTATTTGTTCTAGTTCATGAAGAATGCTGTTGGTATTTTGATAGGTATTGCATTGAATCTGTAAATTGCTTTAGGCAGTATGGCCATTTTGACAGTATTAATTCTTCCTATCCATGAGCATGGATCAGATTTCCATTTATTGGTGTCTTTAATTTCTCTCATTAGAGTCTTGTAGTTTCCAGAGTAAAGGTCTTTCACCTCCTTGGTTAGGTTTATTCCTAGGTATTTTATTCTTAATATTTTATTCTCAATTGTAAATGGAGTTGTTTTCCTGATTTCCTGCTAATTCATTGTTAGTATATGGAAATGCAACAGATTTCTGTGTATTAATTTTGTGTCCTGCGACTTTGCCGAAATCAGTTATTAGCTCTAATAGTTTTTGGTGGATTCTTTAGGGTTTTCTATGTATAATATCCTGTTGTCTGCAAATAATGACAGTTTAACTTCTTCCTCACCAATTTGTATGCCTTTTATCTCTTTGTGTTGTCTGATTGCTGTGTCTAGGACCTCCAGTACTGTGTTGAATTTAAGTGCTGAGAGTGGGCATTCTTGTCTTGTTCCTAATCTTAGAGGAAAAGCTTTCAGCTTTTCACTGGTAAGTATGATGTTGTCTGTGGGTTTGTCTATATTGCCTTTACTAGATGTTGAATTTTGTTAAATGCTTTTTTCGGCATCTATTGAGATGATCATGTGATTTTTGTCCTTTTTGTTCATCATTCTTTTTAATAGCTGCTTTATCTCATGTTAGATAGGTGTACTACAGTTTACTCAAACAATTGCTGATGAGCATCTAGATTGATGTTATATATAGATAGTGTTGCAAGGAACATCCTACATCTTTGAACACTTCTGTATATATTCCTTTAGTTGTATTGCATTGCTCCTCTTAACCCTCGTTAAAGTCATAAGGTAAACCTTGTCGTGCCAACCATTTTATACCTCAGGGGACAGTTTTTGAGAGAATTAAATGCCCAAGTCCACATTGCTAATAATTAACAGAACAAGGACTTGGATAACTTTTTGTTTTTCTATTTTAAGTGTTATGCTTTTCTGGCACCTGTAGGATTTTAATAAACTAGAGTGTATCCAGAAGAGCACTATAATTACAGACCAGTTAAAGGAACTGGGGATGTTTAAGAGACACATGCTTATTTCATTTGTTCAGCATGTATATTTATTGAGCAGTCACAATGTGTCAAGTTCTGATATAGGCAGTGGACAGACAGTGATTATGAGACGAATAAGGTCCTCTACTCTTGTGGAGCTCTCATTTCAGTGAAGGGAGATAGACAATTAACAAGTAAACAAAATAATTTTAGATAGTGATAAGTACTATCAAGAAAATAAAACAGACTAATTAGGTGACCAAGGAACAGTCTTTGAGGAGTAACATATGGCTGAGACCTGAATAACAAGTCGGAGATACCTAAATCTGTCTATGTAACATGACTGGTAATTACATTTAATGAATTAAAAATAGACATCTAGCAATCCTGAGAAGGAAGAATAAAGCAAGGGGGATCTTGCTTTCCAACTTCAAGGTCTACCAGAAAGCTACAGTAATCAAGACAATTTGGTACTGGCACAAGAACAGACTCATAGACCAGTGGAACAGAATAGAGTCCAGATATTAACCCAAGCGTATATGGTCAATTAATATATGATAAAGGAGCCATGGACATACAATGGGGAAATGACAGCTTCTTCAACAGGTGGTGCTGACCAAACTGGACAACTACATGTAAAAGAATAAAACTGGATTATTGTCTAACTCCATACACAAAAGTAAACTCGAAATGGATCAAAGACCTGAATGTAAGTCAAGAAACCATAAAACTCTTAGAAGAAAACATAGGCAAAAATCTCCTGAATATAAACATGAACAACTTCTTCATGAACATATCACCCCGGGCAAGGGAAACAAAAGCAAAAATGAACAAGTGGGACTATATCAAACTAAAAAGCTCCTGTACAGCAAAGGATACCATCAGTAGAACAAAAAGACATCTAAGTGTATGGGAGAATATATTCATAAATGACATATCCGATAAGGGGTTGACATCCAAAATATACAAAGAGCTCACGCACCTCAACAAATAAAAAGCAAATAATCCAATTAAAAAATGGGCAGAGAATCTGAACAGACACTTCTCCAAAGAAGAAATTCAGATGGCCAACAGGCACATGAAAAGATGCTCCACATCACTAATCATCAGAGAAATGCAAATTAAAACCACAATGAGATATCACCTCACACCAGTATGGATGGCCACCATCCAAAAGACAAACAACAAATGTTGGTGAGCATGTGGAGAAAGGGGAACCCTCCTACACTGCTGGTGGGAATGTAAATTAGTTCAACCATTGTGAAAAGTAGTTTGGAGGTTCCTCAAAAAACTCAAAATAGAAATACCATTTGACCCAGGAATTCCACTCCTAGGAATTTACCCTAGGAATGCAGGAGCCCAGTTTGAAAAAGACATATGCACCCCTATGTTTATCACAGCACTATTTACAATAGCCAAGAAATGGAAGCAACCTAAGTGTCCATCAGTAGATGAATGGATAAAGAAGGTGTGGTACATATACACAATAGAACATTATTCAGCCATAAGAAGAAAACAAATCCTACCATTTGCAGCAGCATGGATGGAGCTAGAGGGTACTATACTCAGTGAAATAAGCCAGGCAGAGAAAGACAAGTATCAGATAACTTCACTAATCTGTGGAGTATAAGAACAAAGAAAAAACTGAAGGAACAAAACAGCAGCAGACTCACAGAACCCAAGAATGGACTAACAGTTACCAAAGGGAAAGGGACTGGGGGTGTCAGGTGGGAAGGGAGGGATAAGGAGAAAAGGGGGCATTATGATTAGCACATATAATGTAGGGTGGGGTGCACGGGGAAGGCAGTATAGCACAGAGAAGACAAGTAGTGACTCTGTGACACCTTACTACAGTGATGGACAGTGACTGCATCCCACCCTCCCCAGTCCCTTTCCCTTTTGTAACTGTTAGTCCATTCTTGGGTTCTGTGAGTCTGCTGCTGTTTTGTTTTTGTTTCTTTTTTAATTTTTTTATTCTGCTGATGTTTTGTTCCCTCAGTTTTTGCTTTGTTACACTTACTCCACAGATGAATGAAATCATTTGGTGCTTGTCTTTCTCTGCCTGGCTTATTTTACTGAGCATAATACACTCTAGCTCCATCCGTATTGCTGCTCCCTATTGTGTTGTTAATAAATACCCTTACTGTTTCTAGAGTACAAGCTGAGTTTGGGAAGTAAATGCAAGCATCTGTTTTTGAAGTATAAAGGTATCTTCTGAACTAGTGGTTTAAAATCTTTTTGAAACAATAGTACTCTTTCTTCTAAAGAAATCTTATACTTGAAGAGTATTCTGTAAAAATCTTTGGAGCTGCCAGATGAAGTTGGTAATGAGAAAGTGCCCATTTTATTGGTCACTTAGTAATCCCTTGCAGTTGTATAAACTTTGTACTAGTGCACTATTAAAATTACTTTTTATTCTCATAGTCAGTACTTGAGGTAATTTTACTTATTTATTTATTTTAATTGATGTACAGTTGCTTGAGATAGTAATTTTATAGATTAGAATATAGGCACAGAGAGATTAACTAACTTGTCCTGACCATACAGCAATATTTTAATGGAGCCAGAATTATCATTTAGGTCTCCAGCTCCTCAGTCAGTGGACCTGACCATACAGCAATATTTTAATGGAGCCAGAATTATCATTTAGGTCTCCAGCTCCTCAGTCAGTGGGATTTTCCCCCTAATACATGGTACTGCTTTATCAGTTAATCAATTTATAGCTTTTCTTTCTTTCTTTTACAGGGTTAATTACTTAGATTGTAAAGAATTTTAATATCCTGGGGACTTCTGGGAAGGATCTCTTCAGTTTTGCGTAAGAGAAAGCTCTGAACGTATCAAGTAGCTCTTTAAGAAGTCGTTTGTGTGGGTTATATATATAGATGTTTTCATGAAGAGAAGTGAAAAGCCAGAAGGATATAGACAAATGAGGCCTAAGACCTTTCCTGCCAGTAACTACACTGGCAGCAGCCGGCAAATGTTGCAAGAAATTCGTGAATCTCTTAGGAATTTATCCAAACCATCGGATGCTGCTAAGGTTGAGCATAACATGAGTAAAATGTCAACTGAAGATCCTCGACAAGTCAGGAATCCACCCAAATTTGGGACGCACCATAAAGCCTTGCTGGAAATTCGAAACTCTCTACAACCATTTGCAAATGAAACAAGTCGGAGTACTTCAGAAGTTAATCCACAAATGCTTCAAGACTTGCAGGCTGCTGGATTTGATGAGGTAAGAACTTTCAAAGACAAAAGAAAACATTTTTCTTACCTTATACTACCTAACACTTTGTAGGTGATCTGTCTAAATGCTTCCTTTAGCAAATATAATCATGTATATAAATTTACATATTCTATCAGGAAAGAATATTTACAATTCCATTAATTATTAAAATAAAATAATCATTATTTCCTTAGTTTTCTCTGTGTTTTCTGGGATTTAAAAAGTCAAGTCATGAAGTCAGAGTGGAAGAACAGTTGAAGAAAGCCACAGGTGAGGGCAGGGTAAGGACATCTGTTTGTAGGTAATCTGAGCTCTGGTGAGCTAAATGGCTGTTGTAGAAATGACAGCTCTAAGGATAAGAAATTTAAATTAATACTGCAGAGAAAGACTAATCAGAAGCTTCATTAAGCATTTGCATTCATATCACTCTCAGGACCAAATCTTAAATTCACAGAAATAAAAATGTACGTGTTGCTCAATCTCCAAGAATTTCAGTTTTATTTTAATGAAGTTCAGTTCATGTTAATTTTGCCAAGTCTTTAATATTTACCTTCAAAACTCATTCTGAAAGCTTTTTATAGCACATATATTTAATCATTTTGTTTAGGGTTACTAATAAAATTTATTTTTCATGATAACATTTTATAAGAATATTTTAGGTGGCAGAAATCAGATGCAAATTATCTATGGAAAATGTAGCTAAATGTGTCTAACAGAGCAGTAGTTACAGTTTCTTTCAGAATTGTAATAACTTTTTTCCCGATTATAAAAGTAATATCTATTCCCTATTAAAAATTTTTTAAGTATAAAGAAAAAAACTGAAAATTACCTTTAGCTCCATTACACAAAGAAAATTACTCTTAAAATTATTTCACTGTTGTTAATGTTTTGGTAACCATATTTTCAGATATCTGTATATTTGATTTTAAAATCAAGAACCTAAATATGCATTACAGTTAAAGATTTTGAAAAGGGAGATTTATAACTAGCCTGGGAAGAAAAAGTATATTCTCTGGCCCATTCTATTCATCCATCTGATTAATATTATTTCCTATCATTTTATACTTGTGTTCTAAAAATACTGGATTTGTACCAGAAAATAAATGTATATAGAGATATAGAGAGATGACTTGGAATTTACTGGTTAAAAGAAGATTATGGAAGCAGTTTCCTAATCCCTTAGGCAAAAGGCAAATAGAGACAACTGAATGACTGATCTTATTCTTTCTTTTTATATGTAGCTAGGGAAAGAATTTAGAAAATCACATGGCTATAAAGCCTCTTAATTGATAGTGTATTATGTCGGAAAAGTCATGCAGTAGGTAAATATTTATGAGGCTCTTAATGTGTGTGAACCCATCAACCAGGATAATGAGTCATACAAACATGGACCATAACTTTTAAGGGGCTTAGAAATTCTTTCTATCGTTGACAGTTTTAAGAAATCTAAGGCATCAATCAGTGTCCTGTTCTTTATTTGTTGACAGGACTAACAGTAATAATCCTTGAAGAAAGCAGGGGTTAAGGGCACCAGTCCCCCACCTTTCCTCCTCCCTGTGCAGTCAAAAATCTGCATATAACTTTTGAGTCTCCGAAAGCTACTTAGTGTACTGTTGACCGGAAGCCTTACTGATAATATAAACAACACGTCTTATGTTACATGTATTATATGCTCTATTCATACAATAAAGTAAGCTAGAGAAAAGAAAATGTTTTTTCAAATTATTGAAAATCTCAAAAAAAAAATTCCAATATATTTATTGAAGAAAATCGATGTGTAAGTAGACCTGTGCAATTCAAACCTGTATTTTTCAAGGGTCAACTGTAATTGCTTTGCATTATAAAAATATGTTAGCTTTATTACAATCACATATTTCATTTTGTGTGATTTCATTTCACATTTGTCCCTTAGGATATTAATAACCACCTAATCAAGGTTGCTTTACCAAAAGCACATTTAGATGTTTAAACATCACTTTAGACATTTATCAGTCCTCATTTGTTCAAATAATAAAGGTATGGTATTATTTATACCTCTGATGATATAAAGAATATGGCAGGTTACTTCTGCTACCTCCTTAAATCATTCCTGTTATATTGCAGAGTTTGTTCAAGATTCCAACTTAGTACTTCAATATTCTTATCCAGTTTTACTTAATTATTTTTATCATTTCATAAGCCCTAATTTACTCCTTTAGCTATCCTTCCTTTAGTTCAAAGCAGTTGAAATTTTTTGAGAATGTATTTCTGGTGCCCTATAAAATAAAAACCTTTATCTGGTAAGATAATATTGAAATAGTTCAGGATTATAGGAACTATTAGGAAATAAATAGAATTGATGCATTCTTGGATTCTTATTATTGGTTAACTTTGTGAGTGCATTACAGATAAAGAAATTGAGCTCTGAAATGTTAAATAACCTGCCAAAGTTCACACAGTTCTAAAATGTGGCACATAAATCTACAATCACCAGAGTATATTTTTACTTCTAGTTGTGAAAAGGAAAAGCAATATGGGGCTGTTGGAACTCAAACTCCGTTCTGTTTGATTCCAAACTCTGCTTTTTCCATCATATCATCTAGCCTCCTAAAGTCTTCATCACATAATCATTTATAGTCTGTTTTTCTTCTACATTTGTCCCATATTTGTGTCCTTGTAAATAAAGTTCTTTGAAAATCTAAGCTCTAAAAGGATAGAAACCAGAACTACGTAGCTCTTTTACTAGTAAACACAGTGGCAAAGATGCTTAATAAAAAAAAATGCTTTCATGATACAGCAGAGTGGTTTCTGGTATTTTGATTAACACCTTTTTAACAATCTGATAATTTGCTTTTTTATATAAGAATTAAGAATGAGAAATATTCAGAATCATGTATGATTGTGCCTGAAAGAAGTTAATCCTAGAATAAAACAGTCATATATTACATAAAGGTAAAAATTATTAAAGAAACATTTGAAGTATTTGTTTTTGTTCTGTTTTCATTAGTAATTTAAGATTGTATGGATTTTTATAGTAGTTTTACAACAGGACATAATAGTATGGTTTGGGGCCCTGTTCTTCATAATAGTGAATTTCTCTAGAGGAAATCATAGTGCTCAGTGCTCTTTCCCTCTTACTAATCATAAGATTTAAATTTTATTCCTATTTTTCTTTTTTGAAATTTCATTCAGGACATGGTTATCCAAGCTCTTCAGAAAACTAATAATAGAAGTATAGAAGCTGCAATTGAATTCATTAGTAAAATGAGTTACCAAGATCCTCGACGGGAACAGATGGCTGCAGCAGCTGCCAGACCTATTAATGCCAGCTTGAAACCAGGTGATTAATCATTTTTTTCCAGTCTCTTGTTTTCTAGTCTTGCCTTGAAATATTTAAGTGTATTGAATTTTCAGTCTTAGAAATTATTAAAAGTATCACAGTAAATGAAAGTCCCAAATTAGGATTCATAATGTTAGAGTTATACTGAAATGAACTTGAGGATGGGCCCCTAAAGGTCCATGGGTAATTCTGATAAGCAGCAGTCTAGGTTGAGAATGACTTGATTGGTTATACTGCAACTGAAACATTTCTTTTTAACCACAAATATCATTCAGACTATTCTTTTTTTCTTTTTATAATCTTTTACTATAAGAGTAAACATGTTCATCATAGAAAATTTAGAAAGTAAATAAGCAGAAAGAAAATACCACTATTAATATCCACAAGATTTTGTGTGTTTTGTTTCTCAGTGGGTTTATATGTGTGTATTTTGATCCTTGTTAAGCAAAAATAGGGTCATATTAAAACCTTTGTTCACTTTTTATACCATGTATAACTCTGTGTTACTAAATGATCTACAAAATAATTTTGGTAACTACATTAAAATATATTTCATCACATGCTTTATTTAACCAGTCTCTGATTTTTTTGATATTTGCCTCATTTCCCTTTTTTTTTTTTTTTTTTGCCATTATGGACAGCACTGCAGTGAATGCCCGTGTACTTAACTCTTTGTACATTGCTGATGAGTTCATGAAACTAATTTTCAAAGACTTGCAGAAATATAAGGTTTTTCTTAAGTACTGCTATCTTGAAAGGTGTTACCACTTATGTTTTCCCAGTCATTTTAAAATGAGAATGTCTGTATTAGTAAATCCTATGTATTATCATTTTTATATGTTTAATGATTGTGGAAATACTATCTTAGTTTGCATTCTCATTTCTTTGATCACTGCTGAGACTGAACATTTGTTTATTGGTTATTTTTAAATTGGCATTTTAGTTCTTTACTGATCTTGTGTTTTTTTATTGGTTTATAAGAGGTCTTATTTATTCATTCATCAAAAAATTTTTATTGATAGCCACTGTTCAGGCCCTTTACTCGGAATTGGGTATAAAGTTCTTGCCCTTTTGTGGAGCAGACATTCTAGTAAGGGATATCAGATACTCATACATATACATGTAGAATTACAATTATGTAAGTATGAATAAAGAGGGGAGAGTGATATCATCCTGTGGGCTAAAATAATAGAAAGATTTTGACCCACTCAAGGAGATAGAGAAACTCTCCCTGTGAAAGTGAGAATAGAGCTGACATCTGAAGAAAGACAAGGGTTAATGGGGTGAGTTTAATGAGGAAGAGTGTCCCTGTGCATGGCCTGTTTGGCAGGTTTTGATGCCACATTTGAAGAATGAAAATGGCTAGAGCACGTAAAGAGTAGGAGATACGACTGGAGAAGTACACAGGGGCCTACCTAGTATAGAGGACTGTCTGTTGATTTTTGTCCTAAGAATAGCAGGAAGTTGTGGAAATGTTTCAGTCAGGGCAATGACATGGTTAGATTTTTGTTTCAAAAAGATGTCCACAGTGGATGAGAACAGGTTAGGGAGAGAGCATGGGAAGGGTATCTGGATAGACCTGAGGAGAGGGTCAGTAGTTGATGGGAAATGAAGGTAATTTGGGTTAGGGAGAAGGCAGTGGAGAAGAGTGAATGCATTAAGACAGGTGGAAGGGTAAAGTCGACAAGGACTTGACAATAGCCAAGTGGGATAATATTGGAGAAGGATGACTCTTAGACTTTTGGTGTAGAAAAATAGGTGAATGGTGATACCCCACATTATGGAAGAGAATGCTAAGTCAGAATAGGATTTGGTGGAGAGAGAGCATAAGTTTGGTTTTTGACATAAAGTCAAGTTCATTGAGTTATCCAAGCGAAGATGTCAAGTAGGGAGCTGTATATATATATTAGTCCAGCATATGAAATAGGTTACATAAGGGAGATAACGTAGACAAAAATGCCAAGATGGCCTAGAACCAAGTCTATTACTTAGTAGCTGCTGGTAGGAGAGGATAAGCTTGCAAAGAAGACAGAAGAATTAACTAAAGAGAAGGTAAAAAAAAAAAAAACAATAAGGTTTCTAGAGTCTTGAAGGCCAAAGGAAGAGATTGTTTTAAGGAGGGTAGGGAAGAGTCCAAAATACCAAATACTAAGAAGTCAACCAAGGTAAGAACTAGAAAATATCTTGTTGGCTTTAGTGACATGGTGCATTAGTTTACTAGTGCTGTCATAGCAAAATGCCACAGACTGGGTGATTTAAATGCCATAGATTTGTCCTTTCATAGTTCTGGAGGCTTCAAGGACACAGCAGGTTTGGTTTCTCCTGATGGTTCTTGCCATGGCTTGCAAGTGGCCCCCTTTTCACTGGGTCCTCACCTGATCATCCCTCTGCATGCACATCTGTCTGGTGTCTCTCTCTCTGCATCCATGTTTCCTCTTCTTATAAAGACACCAGTCATATTCGATTAGGGCCCACCCCAATGACCTTGTTAAACTTTAATTACCTCTTTAAAGGCCCTGTCTCCAATACAGTCACATTCTAAACTACTGGTGTTAGGACTGCCCTAAATTTTGGGGGGACACAGTTCAGCCCATAAGACATGGGCTAACTTGTTTCTGTTTAGTATTGGAACATAATTCGGATTGGAGGGGGCTGAGGAATACATAGAAGTGAGGTAAAGAGCTCAACTATAGGCAATCGCATGAGTGTTTCTGTGAGGGTAGAGTGAGGAGCTTAGTGGGAGTACTACTTATCTAGGTAAAGTTCTTTTATTTTTTCAATTTCCAATTTATAATGGATTAATACTCTTAAAAAATATAATGATTTATTAGAAAATTAACATTTTAAATGACATATAATATGTAAGTCCAAATATTTTACTATATTTAACACACTGTCAAATAAAATTACTCTGTCAAATTTCTGTAAAAGTTTCTCAATTTTTACTTTCAACTTCCATACTTATCTCGTAGTGGGCCAGTATCAGTTTGTAGACCAGCACCAAATAACACCTTGAGGTAGTGGTCTATATGCAAGTGGAGGAGAGAGCCTTATTGTTTTTTTTAATAGGAAAGTTTTAGGCATGCTTAAAAGATAATTGCAAGAATCCAGTTAAGAGGATGAAACTAAATAATCAAGAAAGAAGGATCAAGTAAGGTTTCTGAGAAGCTAGGAGACGAAAGGAGCCAAAGTTTAGGATGAGAAATTATTAGCCTTACCTTGAAAGAGAAACACCCATTTTGCTCTGAAGAAGCAAAAAGGCCTAGGTTTATGGGGAAGATGAGGGAGTTCCTTTCTGATGCCTTCAGTTTTCTCTGAAGTAGAAGATAAGTTATCAGCTAAGAGTGATGGGTGAGGCAATTTGAAGAGACTGAGGACTGGCAAAAGTTGTAGTGGAGACAAGAAGAAACAGTACAGTTTCCTCCAGTACCAAGGCCATTTGATGATGCTGATTGTGAATTTATGGTAAACTCAGCTGCTTTTTACATCACATTTCTAGCAGACATGAATAAAAGTAGATAGCTGGAATCGTCGTAACTGGACTTTTACTAAACAAGTACAAAATAAGAGAGATACAGGGAGTTCAGAATATTGCTGAAAGGGCGATACAAGTCCTCAATCAGACCGTAGTCCTCTTTTGCCTCCTTTGTTCCTCATTCCATCCAAACTCCTCTCCATGGCTTTTGCACTCTCAGACTTCATCTAGTACCACTCTTCCCCTTATTTATTACTCTCGAGCCATACTGGGTTTCTTTATGTCCTTGGAAAACACCAAGCCTACCATGCCATGATCTTTGCCCAGTCTTAGATCATATGTCCTTGGTGGAGCTTTTTCTGACCACTAAATCTCATTCCTTTCTATCCTTCTGTTACTCTCTATCATGGGACACATTTATGTTTGCTTAATAATAGCATTTTTCATACCCATATGTTAACCTTGCTTGTTTATTCACTTGTTTATCATCAGTCTCCTCCCCAAAGAATGGAGATTCCATGGGGGTAGGGATATTATCCAGTTCACCAAGGTACTTGGAGTACTTTAGAGCAGTGTCTGGCATATAGATGCTCAATTAATATTTAATGAATGAATGGAAATGAAGAGGGGAGAAAAGGAATGCAGAGGGAAAAAAGATGTGATGGACCATGAATTTAAACTGGCTAAAGTGTGCCATAAAGAAAGAGGACTGATGAAATAGGGGTTAATATTGGATGTCTTGATGAGGTTGAAGAATGTTTGCAGTAGTAGTTAAACATGAGAAGGAGAAGTTTAGTTCAAGAGTATTAATCTTCAATAATTGATTATGAAAAAGAAGCAGATATGGGTGGTAATCAAAAGTAGAAATGTGATCTTCAGTGTGGTATTTGAGGTGGAGTGGAGGGAAGGAGGTCAGGAAACAGGTGAGGGTGATGGATGGTTCATCCATGTGTGTGTGAAGTTATGACTGTTGGCAGGGCTTTAGGTAGACTGAGTGCCAAAGTCATGTCTGAATGAGGATGAGCAAGAGGAATGAATGTGGACTCCCAGATAGCATGAGCTTCCAAAGAGTTGGCTTTTTTAAAAAAGAATGTGAAGGAATAATAATAATCTGGAAACAAATAGAGAGCAAAGAGGTAAAATCCCACCATGTGGCCAGTTTATTTTTAAAGCAAGCCTTAATTGCAAAGAGCTGAAAGGAAAGTAATGTCAAAGAAGATGACCAGCTTTAAGGAGATAGTGAGAAAACTTGGAGCAGAGGTTAGTGATACAGGAGCACTTGCTGGTTTTAGGGTAGAGCATCTCCAGGGGCAGTAGTTGGAGGGTTTGGGAAGTGGAATAACTTGGAGAGCCCTATGGCGATATCAGTATATGCTAGGGTTGCACAGACTTACCTTTGATTGGTAGAAGCTGGGCGAGTGACATGGTTGGTGTATTTAGCTTCAACTGACTATCTGAGGAGGGAGTCTGAGCCTGGTGGCCAGAGGACTTGTCTAGCTTCCCCAGATGATAACTTCCCTGAAGCTATAGACCAAACATGCTGCCCAGCCTACAAGAAATGGAGTGTTAAACTGTACTCTGAACATTTACCACTTTTTCTCATAAATATTTTTCTCCCAGGATGACATTAACCTTCCAAATTTGTGGATGTTGCTTGTTTGTTTTGACAGTGATAAGCAGTTTATATGTTTACATCTGTCAGTCTTTTACTGTCAGTCTACTCTTGTTGTACCTGGGAAGACCCTCCTAGGAGGTACAAGAGTGCCCCAATATTATTGAATGTTAATTTGTTTTTCCTAGTACTTACATGGTTTCATCTTCAACACTCAAATGTTTAATCTTTCTAGAATGTATTATTTATATGTATTGTATTTCATATATTTTTTAAATGTATTATTATCTTTCTCTAAGTGGCCAAACTCTTAAATACTCTTTCTTTTTTTGTTTTGTATTTGTATCATATATATTCTTACTTATTTATTTGGAAATTCCATTAAAGACAGACTGTAATATCCATACCTTATTTAGTGTTCAGCTAATTATTCCCTGCTGTCTTTTGTCTGCTTTAAAGCCATATTGAAGTGTACTTAAAATTAGTTGTAATTCAAAAGTACATATGGACACACCCTTTGGTTCAATAAGCCCAATTTTTATATATTTTTAAGTAATAATTTATCTACTTAAAAATATATATGAAATCATATCTACCCAAAATTTCTCATTGCTTTTTTTTTTTTGGTAAAGCAAAAGACTAGATAAAACTTTATTACCCATCATCAGGGAAACTGATGAAATAAATTTGGGTATATCCATACAGTGAAAAACTGTGACAGCTTTTATTTAAAGTGAGGAAACATTTTTATACTTACACAGAATCTCCAAATTTTTAATGAAAAGAGCCAGGCACAGTAGTACATATAGGAGGTATACCGTTTGCTTGGGTAACCCTGAAATATCTTACTGATAACATTGGTTACCTTCAGGGAAGGAAACTAGTTGTCTAAGGGACAGAGGTGGGTATCCTTTTGTACCTCTCGAATTTTGAGCTATGAGAATGTGTTTAGTCAAAAATAAATAAAATTTTAAAAGATAAAGCTACTAACTGAAATTTGATTTTTATAATTCTTAAAGAGAATTATCATTTGTAATGTCAGAATTCCAAGTTAACTTTTCCAAAAATAAGAGGTTAAAAATGTTGTTTTTTTCTGTTTTATGATCCTAGGGAGTGTGCAACAACCTGTTAACCGCAAGCAAAGCTGGAAAGGTTCTAAAGAATCCTTAGTTCCTCAGAGACATGGCCCACCACTAGGAGAAAGCGTAGCCTATCGTTCTGAAAGTCCCAGTTCACAGACAGATGTAGGAAGACCTTTGTCAGGATCTGGTATAACAGCATTTGCTCAAGCTCACCCTAGCAACGGACAGAGAGTGAACCCCCCTCCACCTCCTCAAGTAAGGAGTGTCACTCCTCCACCACCTCCAAGAGGCCAGACCCCCCCTCCAAGAGGCCCAACTCCACCTCCCCCCTCATGGGAACCAAACTCTCAAACAAAGCGCTATTCTGGGAACATGGAATATGTCATCTCCCGAATCTCTCCTGTTCCACCTGGAGCCTGGCAGGAGGGCTATCCTCCACCACCTCTTAATACATCCCCAATGAATCCTCCTAATCAGGGACAGAGAGGCATTGCTTCTGTTCCTGTTGGCAGACAACCAATCATCATGCAGAGTTCTAACAAATTTAACTTTCCACCAGGGAGACCTGGATTGCAGAATGGTAGTGGTCAGACTGATTTTATGATACATCAAAATGTTGTCCCTGCTGGTGCTGTGAATCGGCAGCCACCCCCTCCATATCCTCTGACCCCAACTAATGGACAAAGCCCTTCTGCTTTACAAACAGGGGGATCTGCTGCTCCTTCGTCATATACAAATGGAAATATTCCTCAGTCTATGATGGTGCCAAACAGAAACAGTCACAACATGGAACTTTATAATATTAACGTACCTGGACTGCAGACAGCTTGGCCTCAGTCGTCTTCTGCTCCAGCCCAGTCGTCCCCAAGCAGTGGGCATGAAATCCCTACGTGGCAACCTAACATACCAGTGAGGTCAAATTCTTTTAATAATCCATTAGGAAACAGAACAAGTCATTCTGCTAATTCTCAGCCTTCAGCTACAACAGTCACTGCTATTACACCAGCTCCTATTCAACAGCCTGTGAAAAGTATACGTGTATTAAAACCAGAACTACAGACTGCTTTAGCACCCACACATCCTTCTTGGATACCTCAGCCAGTTCAAACTGTTCAGCCTAGTCCTTTTTCTGAGAGTACCACTTCAAATATGACTGTTATGTCACCTGTTGCTGAAGCTCCAAACTATCAAGGTCCGCCACCACCTTATCCAAAACATCTACTACACCCAAACACATCTGTTCCTCCATATGACTCAGTCAGTAAATCTAGCAAAGAGGATCAGCCAAGCTTGCTCAAGGAAGATGAGGGTGAAAAAAGTTATGAGAATCTTGATAGTGGGGATAAAGACAAGAAACAGATTACAACTTCACCTATCACCGTTAGGAAAAACAAGAAAGATGAAGAGCGAAGGGAATCTCGTATTCAGAGTTACTCTCCTCAGGCATTTAAATTCTTTATGGAACAACATGTAGAAAATGTACTCAAATCTCATCAGCAACGTTTACATCGTAAAAAACAATTAGAGAACGAAATGATGCGGGTAAAATCTTTTAAAATACCCATTTTTATACTTGGTCATCTGTTTGCTTGGTGTTTATTTTAAATACTGTGATCCAGTATTTTTATTTCTTTTTATAGCTAAAAATATTTTTAGTTATTTAAAAGTCAGTAAACATTAAAATTGTTTTGATTATAGCATTTTATTTTAGCATTTCAAGATTTACTCGGCTCTCCTATAATAAAGTTCTGATAAATGAAAAAATATCTAATTTACAGTATACAGTTTGGTTGTACCTAATCCCTTTATATGGAAGTTGGAACAAGGGTTATTTTTTAGGTTTTACATATTATTTTAAACTAAAATATCTGGGTCCTATCTCTTGGTACACTTATGAAACATTTTATTCATAGTAGGTTTTAGTCTTGTGGGTTTATTCATTAGATTGGTCTTAGAAAGTGGTGTGAGAAATGTCAGAGACATCTTAAGTTATTTCTACTTACAATTTCATTTTTATAATGTACTGGAAAATGTGCTGAAATTATTAAACTCTATTAAAAAGGACATTAAATAAGTACTTTAATCTCTATTGTGATTCCATATAGGTCTCTTTACTAGATATTGGGTGGTACTGTCATCATTACTATTTTATCATATGTTTACAGTTCAAAGATTTGACTCCTAATTTTACACCTATCACAGAAAATCCAAGGGGCTTAAATTTGTGGTAAAACTTCCTTACATAACTTGACAGGGCCATCCTTATTGTTCCCACTATCAATTGAATTTTTTTAGATGAGAAATACCATGATAATCTGTATGACTTATCCATATTTTAGCTCTTAAGATTTCTTACTAAAGTCTCTGTATTTATTTTCTTAGTTTATTTTTCCTTTTTCCTCTTCACTTTCACTAATAGCTGATTTAAACTTTTATGGTGTTGGAAGCTTTGCTGACTTCTGTAGCCTCCATTACTGTGTAGGCAAGTAAGATTTTAAGAGAAATAGTTCTACACTAAGTCTGGCATGTCACCCTTCTTAAAAGATTTTGCATGCAAATGCGCATCCTAACCAAAGCATGAGGTTGCTATAATTAGCCTTGCATTTCTAGAATTAGACTGTACTTTTCATATTAAATTCCTTTTCTATTAAACCTTTAAATCAGTTCTTTATTAACTATACAAAAATATAATTGTCCCTTCCTTCTAAATCTAGGTGTTCCCAGTCTACTTACAAGTTTTTTATCAAACAAGTTGTCCCTTTTAAATAAGGTTGGAGAAAACCTTTGCATTTTGCTTAGTGGTGGCTATGAGTCCCACACTTACTCTAATGCCCTGAGAAAGATGAAAGAAAGATAAAAGGAAAGACTGGCTATTAAGAAATGGTTAGGTTAAAGATATTCTTTTTCTTAATATATCAGTTTTTCTTGTTCTTTATATACCAGTTTTTGTAGAATAAATGAACCTGGAGTGGAAGAATTTCTTTTCATATAGGATAAAATGGGAGGAAGAATATTTGAGGCCTAGGCTTTCCACAAAGAGAAGCATAATATAGTGAAGGCAGTGTAATCATGTAAATTTGGATGAATACGCATGGACAGATGAAGATGCATTTTAACAGATGTTTGGTTATTGCACAATGGGAACATTTTTTTGAGTGCATTACAGAGGAGTAGAAAGCTGGTTATTGGTATCATCTTGTTTTTTGCTCTCCAGAACAGAATCTGCATATATACTCACCTTGTATATCCTGTTAACTATCCCTAAGCTGCACTTTTGATAATTAATTTTCTCTGAAATACATTCTAAATTTCTAACATGCTTTATTAAAAATTATGCATTTAACCTTTAAATATGTGCTTGAATTTTTTCTAAGCTATTTCTTAATATTCAGTATAGAAGATAATTCTTCATTTAACATTTAGTTTATTTGCCTAGGTTGGACTATCTCAAGATGCCCAGGATCAAATGAGAAAGATGCTTTGCCAAAAAGAGTCTAATTACATCCGTCTTAAGAGAGCTAAAATGGACAAGTCTATGTTTGTGAAGATAAAGACATTAGGAATAGGAGCATTTGGTGAAGTCTGTCTGGCAAGAAAAGTAGATACTAAGGCTTTGTATGCAACAAAAACTCTTCGAAAGAAAGATGTTCTGCTTCGAAATCAAGTTGCTCATGTTAAAGCTGAGAGAGATATCCTGGCTGAAGCTGACAATGAATGGGTAGTTCGTCTATATTATTCATTCCAAGATAAGGACAATTTATACTTTGTAATGGACTATATTCCTGGGGGTGATATGATGAGCCTACTAATTAGAATGGGCATCTTTCCCGAAAATCTGGCAAGATTCTACATAGCAGAACTTACTTGTGCAGTTGAAAGTGTTCATAAAATGGGTTTTATTCACAGAGATATTAAACCTGATAACATTTTGATTGATCGTGATGGTCATATTAAATTGACTGACTTCGGTCTTTGCACTGGCTTCAGATGGACACATGATTCTAAGTACTACCAAAGTGGTGAGTAAAATCATAAAATTTATTTGTACATATTAATATGATTTATTAGTGTAATAAAATATAAGATGGTCCTATCACTGGATGGGAGCCAGAAGTCCTGGGTCGAGTGTTGACTCTTTTGGACAAATGTGGGTGAGTCTTTCAGACACTCATTTATAAAATGAAAGAGTGTGTTAAATTAAATTATTTCTAAATATCATTGACATTTTTTAGTTAATCCCTTTACATTTTATTGGTTTGAAATAGATCAGACAAATAACATTTAAAAAATCATTTTAAATGAAGTCTCATACCACCATTCAGCTTAAGCACTAGATTTATTGGTACCTTTGAAGCCCCTAAATAATCCCTTCCCCTTCTTTCCTCCAACAAGGTAACCATTATTTCAGAACTTTGTAAAGATCTTTACTACTTTTCTCCGTACTTTTACCAAGTATGTATATATCCCTAAACAATTACTATTTTCATTTTGCCTACTCTTGAACCTTTATTTAAATGTAATCATATGTATTCTGTGTTGGCTTTATATGTTTGAGGACCTTCTGTGTTACTTCATATAACATTTCACTGCTATCATATGTATTCTGTGTTGACTTTATATGTTTGAGGACCTTCTGTGTTACTTCTTATAACATTTCACTGCTATTTAGGATTCTATTGAGTGACAATCATACAACGTACTTAACCTTAAACACTTTATGTACATGATTTTATTTAATTCTCACAATGCCACTGTGAGGCAGGATGAAGAAACCGAGGCTTAGATGAAGTAACGTAACTTGCCCAAGGTCAGACAGAAAATAAGGGTGAGGGCTAGGCTTTGAACCCAGGTTTGTCTGATTACAGGGCGCATGTTATTTCTACTATACCACACTGCCTCACCAAGATCCCTTCAAGCGCTTATGGAAGTGTAAGTCAATCTAACATTTGTTGAATACTTACTGTGACTAGGTACTTTACATATTTAATTTAATGCTCATAGCAGTCATCTAAGGTAAGTATTATTAACCTCTGTGCTTCTGTAAACACAAGTAGACTGACATTAAATGGAGAGTACTGAGATGCCTGAACCTACCTTAATGTTCAGCTTAATATAATTTAATGTCTCCTCAGATTCACCTAAATTCTTTAGAGCTCTTCTTAAAAATATGATTCTTAGGCTCTAGTCCAGTCTTCTGACTGAAAATCTTCACTGGAGGGTACATATTATATTTTAACAAAACATCTCAGATGATTATTTCAGTTACGTGAATTTCAGATGTGTTTTTTAGGTGATTTCACCTGGTCATGGCTTTAAATACCATCTCTATATCGGTGACTTTTCTCTCTTTTCAGAATTGGCTTCTCCCTTTCATATGGATTTCTTATAGGCATTTCAAACTTAAGTTCCCAATAAACAACTCAATTTCTACCTCTACATCTAATTCTTCAAAAGTCCTGCTTACTCCACCTTTAAATATATCCAGAATCTGTTCACTTTTCTCTGACTCTGTCACCATTATGGTCCAAGCTTAACTGTAATAGCCTCTTCAGTGATCTCTTTTCACTCTTGTCCTCCCTATAATCTATTCTCTACATAGCAGTTCAAGTTATATATTTTAAACATAAGTCAGATCTTGTCATTTTCTGCTTCAGACTCTCCAGTATCTTCCCACTGTACTTGAAGTAAAAGGTTAACCATTTCTTTTGCTTACCAACCCTTATGCCCAGGCTCCTACTCCATTTCCTACCAGTCTCCCCTTTACTAATCACACTGGTCTTTACTCTTTTTTACTGGGTAGAATTCTTTGCCCTGGTTTTCAAATGGTTCAGTCCCTCTTGTTTTTTACAGTATCACCTCAATTGGTCTTCCCAAACCACCCTAGAACATCTGTCTGTTCCATCACCCTAGGTTGATTGTATGGGATGCCTCCCTGTGTTCCTTATATATTTATTTGTTTGTTGTGTTTCTCTCCTACAGAGAAATGCCTGAGAAAAAAACTTTTCATTTATCCTTTGTCACTTCTTGAATGAATGAAACATTGATCAAGTTTGCTTGGGAACTTTGTCCAGAGTAGTAATGGGGAGCAGTGTGAATAACAAATTCTTAATCCTACCTTTGACTTTTACTATCATCATTTAACATTAAGTAAATTACTGAATCATAGGCTAGTTTTTCTTAGTGTAAAACTTGTCCTATTGGTATCTTAGAGTGCAGGCTCTAGTTGATAATAAACACTATGAGTAATTTGGCATATGCTGTGTCTTAGCTTGTCTCGGGGAGAGTGTTGTCAACTATAAACTATGATGTCAAAGGATTAAACAGACTTTAGGTTTACCCTTCTTGTTGCTTTTATTTCTTTTTCTACTGTATAGGTGACCATCCACGGCAAGATAGCATGGATTTCAGTAATGAATGGGGTGACCCTTCTAACTGTCGATGTGGAGATAGACTGAAGCCACTAGAGCGGAGAGCTGCACGCCAGCACCAACGATGTCTTGCACATTCTTTGGTTGGGACTCCCAATTATATTGCCCCTGAAGTGTTGTTACGAACAGGTAAAACATTTGTTCCATAAACAGTAGGTCTTTAGATAGCTGAATTTTATATAAGAATATGGTTTATTTTGCAGGTTTATAATAAGAGTATTATTTTATAATATAAATAGGTGACTTAATATTTTGATTGTATACATTCTGAGCCCTTTTTAAAAAGTGCTTATGAATAACAAACTTCGGTATCTTATTTTAGGCTATACACAGCTATGTGATTGGTGGAGTGTTGGTGTAATTCTTTTTGAAATGTTGGTGGGACAACCTCCATTCTTGGCACAAACACCATTAGAAACACAAATGAAGGTAAGATCCAGAATCTACACCAAAAGAATTGTCACAAAGTCCCTTTACTGTAGACCTTTATCAGTCATTTACTTAAAGCATCTTAATCTGACATTAAAGAATGAATTTGTTAAGGATATAGGGACCCACTTAAATTCTATGCATGAACTTTAATCTCCATCCCACTGTTATCATACTCTAATGTTGTCTCGCTTATACACTGTATTCATATTTCATTGTTATAGAAGTCTTCAGTACCTATTAAAGATTTATGCAACTAACTCTTTCTGTGTCACACACTGACTCCTGGCTTTGTTTCATTCCGTGCACACTCTAGCCCCAAACTACAAACATCTGTATATCTCCACTTGAAATTACCTCTGGTGCTTAAATGAAAAGCTGCCCGCAATCTTGACCATTAACTGTCCCATTAAAATCCTTTAGTTGTTCTTGTCTTTATGTTAAAGTCAAAATTTTCCCTCTGTTCTTTGTTCATATCATTCCCTCTGTCTGGAATGTTCTCCCTTTTCTCTGAAACCTCGTTTTTAATCATTCTTAATCATTCTATGAGATATCATTCTTAATCATTTTTTGAGATATCATCTCTTCCATGATGCTTTTCCCCAAGTTTTTAATTAATTCTGTCATTGTTTTTCATATATTTCAAACTCCCTTTAGAATTTATTTTAGGACAGGTGTACTCGTAATGCAGCCTTTCAGATTTGTATTAGATTTGTCTGAGTGTCTTTATTTTGCCTTCATTTTAATATGTATGTTTATATGTAAGTATATGCATATATACAGACGTGTGCATGTGTGGCAGGTGTGTGTGAAAAATTGAATGCTTTCTAAGATTAAGAGCAAGGCAAGGGTATCTATTTTCACTTACCTTATTCAACATAGTTCTAGAAGTCTTAGGCAGTATAATATAGGAAGGAAAAGAAAGAAGAGGCATACGTATTAGAAAGAAGTAAAAAATTTTGTAGAAAATCTCAGGGAATCTATGAAAAAAGCCCTAGACCTAATAAGTGAGTTTAGTAAAGTTGTAGGATATAAGGGTAATACATAAAAGTCTGTTGTAATTCTGTATTCAAGCAATGAACAACCAGAAGTTAAACTTTTATTTTTAATTTAAAAAGTCAACTTTATTGAGGTATAATTAACATACCAAAACACAGCCCATATTAAAAATGTGCAATTTGATATGTTTGACATATCCATATCCCTGTAGAATGACCATCACAATCAAGAGTATAGCACAGCCCTCCTCCTCCCAAATTTTTGCATGTCCCTTGGTAGTCTTCCCCTCTTGCCTCTTCCCACATCCCCAGGTGACCGCTGATCTGCTTTATGTCTCTTAGATTAGTTGCATTTTCTAGAATTTTATATAAATGGAATCATACAGTAAGTACTGTTTTTTGCCTACCTTCTTCCCTCAGCATAATTATTTTGAGATTTATTATTTTTTATTAAGGTATGATTGATACACACTCTTATGAAGGTTTCACGTGAAAAAACAATGTGGTTACTACATTTACCCATATTATCAAGTCCCCACCCATACCGCAATGCAGTCACTGTCCATCAGTGCAGCAAGATGCCACAGATCCACTGTGTGCCTTCTTTGTGCTACACTGTTCTGCCTGTGATCCCCCACACCATGTGTACTAAACATAATACCCCTCAATCCCCTTCTCCTTGCCTCCCCACCCACCCTCCCACACCTCTCCCCTTTGGTAACCACTAGTTCATTCGTGGAGTTAATTTTGAGATTTATTCATGTTGAATCATTTACCCAGAGTTCATTCCTTATTTGTGAGTGTTCATTTGTGTAGATACAGCAGTTTATTCATTCACCTGTTGGTGGATTTGAGTTGTTTCTAGTTTTTGGCTATTACAAATAAAACTGCTATGGATATTCATGCATAAGTCTTTGTACAGAAATATACTTTCATTTCTGTTGGGTAAATACCTAGGAGTGGAATGACTGGATCATAAACTAGTTTTACATCTAAATTTTTAAAGAAACTATCAAACTGTTTACCGAAGTGGTTGTACCATCTCACATTTCTACTAGCCATGTGAGAAGGTTCTAGTTCCTCTAAATCATAGGTATCCCTTGGAATTGGTAACCTTTCAAATTTTAGCTCCTTTAATAGTTATACACTGGTACCTCACTGGTGTTTTTTGTTTTTTGTTTTTATGGCATCATTGATAGACACTCTTGTGAAGGTTTCACATGAAAAACATGTGGTTTCTACATCCACCCATATTATCAAGTCCTCCCCACACCCCATTGCAGTCACTGTCTATCAGCCTAGTAAGATGCCACAGAGCCACGGAACTGAAATTTAAAAACACTATCATTTACTGTAGCTTCCCCAAATTAAAATATGGCTGTTAATCTAATAGAGTATGAATAAGATATGTATGCTGAAAGCTACAAACTCCTAATAAAAGAAATAAAGGAAGATCTTAATAGATGCACACATACACCAGGTTAATGCATTGGAAGACTCAACATAAAGTCATCATTTCTCCCTAAATTAATCAATAGATTTAACTCAATTCCAATAAAAATTCCCAACAGGAATTTTTATAGATATAGATGAGTCAATTCTAAACTTTTTTTTAAAAGAAGAGCAAAGTTAGACCACTATCAACTAGTTGATTTAAGACTTGCTATGAAGCTACAGTAATCCAGGCAGTGTGATACTGGCAAAGGATACACACACAGATCAGTGGGACAGGATAAAGAAGGGATAAATAGGACCACACAGATAAAATGGCCATTTGATCTTTGACAAAGATGCAAATGCAGAAAAGATAGTTTTTAAACAAATGATGTTGGGAAAATTGGTCAGCCATATGCAAAGTATACTGAACCTCAACGTAAACCTCACATCTTACACAAAGATTAATTCAAACCAATCATAGATCTAGAGGTAAACATAAAGCTCTGTAATACTTTTAGAAGAAAATATAGTAGAAAATCTTTATAGCCTAGGGTTAGGTGAAGAGTTCTTAAAAATAACACCAAAATCATGATCCATAAAAGAAAACATTGAGAAATTGGACTTCATCAAAATTAAAAACTTTCAGTCTGCCAAAGACACAGTAAGACAATGAAAAGATAAGTTACAGCTTGGGAGAAAATATTTGCAGATCACATGTCCAACAAAGGGCTTCTGTCTAACTATATAAAGAACTCTCAAAACTCATTAGTAAGAAAAACAGCCCAGGCCAGTGACCTATTAGAGGTTTCCTTAAATGTTTGGATCAAAAAAGAAAAGTACCTCTTTAAATCTTCCTGAGTGGGTGGAAATAAAGGCAAGCCTCTGGGCTCCTCCCTCAGGGAGCCACCAAGACCAACCAAAATGTACAACCTCCAATTTTTGGAATACAGGGTCTTTACTGCCCTCCGGGCACTAGCCAGTTGCTCCAGGAGGGTGGGCTGCCCTCTGCATAATCACAGTAGGGCTGAGGAATAGTAAATGGTAGGTGGTTGCTGCACACTGCTGCCTTGTCAAATTTTTGCAGCTTCTCCTTGCCTGAAGCACTCCCTTTGTTGCTGTAATTGTCAGGTCCCAGAGTTCCAAAGTAATTGATTCTGGCACTTTTTCCCAATTTAATTGTTTTTGTTGGGTGGGGGTCTGACCTCTGAAGCTGTTATTTGCCATTTTCCATGATATCTCCCTATATTATGTTTTTTACTATTATCTCTTTGTACAGTTTTGTTATAGGTTGTTCTAGTGACTATAAAATACAAACTAAGTTTTCACTGCCTACTTGGAATTAATATTTTACCACTTTAAGTTCAGTATAAAATCTTACTATCATGTAGGTCCCTTTATTCTCAACTGTTTTTATATTTTAGTTGACTTTTACATTTAAAACCTCATCCAGCAATGTTGCAGTTTTTTTGTTTTCAACCATCAACTTGTTTTAAAGAACTCAGGATGGAAGACTAGTCATTTACCTGAATACTTCGCATTTTTCTTGCTCTTCCTTTGTTCATGATGTTTTAAGACATCTTTTGTATCATATCCCTTCTGTCTGAAGAACTTTCTTTAGCAAATATTTTATACCAGGTTTTCTGACAGCAGATTCTCTGTTTTCCTTCATCTGAGAATGAATGTCTTTATTTCACCTTCCTTAGGCTGTTAGCATCTGAGTTTGAGTTCTTGTGGAACTTTGAAGTGTTGTCCACTTCCTTCTGTACTTCATAGTTTCTGATGAGAAGTTTACAGTCATTTTCCCTCAAGTAATGCATTTTTCACTGACTGCTTTCCAGAATTTGTCTTTAGTTTTCAGTGTTGTAATTATGATACATCTGGGCATGGATTCCTTACAGCTTATCCTGTTTGGTTTCACTGTGCATCTTGAATTTATAGATTTGTCAAATTTGGGGAGTTTTCATGGCCATCATTGCTTGAAATATTTTTTCTATACCTCACACTTTTTCCTCTTGGCACTCTAATTACACCAATGTTAGACCTTTTGTTATAGTTCCACAAATTACTGGGGTTTTCATATTTTTTAACTCTTTTTCTCTCTCTCCTGTTAAGATTGCATAATTTCTATTGATCTGTCTTTAAGTTCACTAATTCATTCCTCTGACATCTCCTTTCTGCTATTAAGCCCCTCCATTGAGTTTTTTTATTTTGGTTATAGTATTTTTCAGTTCTAAAATTTCCGTTTGATACCTCTTCATATCTTCAGTTTCTTTGCTGAGACTTTTGTCTTTCATTTCATTTCAAGACTCTTCATCCTTATTTGTAGCATTTTTTTAATGGCTACTTTAGTCTTTGTCAGATAATCCTAACATCTGTGTCATCTCAACACTAACATCTGCTGATTTTCTTTTCCTATGTGGGTTGAAATTTTCATGGTTCTTTGTATACCAAATACATGTGTATCCTACACATTTTGAATATTTTGTTGTGAAACTCTGGGTCTTGTTTATATCTTACAGAGAATGTTTTGGCAAGCATTTAAGCCAGGTTGGATTCAGGCCACAAGTTCCAACCAGTCTTTTTGTGGCTTTTTTTTTCAATGTGAATTTCATTGTCAAAAGTATTTGCATTGCTAGCCAAATCTCTCCCTGGGCTGTGGTCTTTGCCTTTGTTCAGTTCTCAAAAATCTTTAATATGCTCTCTAGGGTTAGATTCATGGAAGTACAGTTTGGACATGAGCCCAGCAATTTGGGAAATTGACACCATAACATTTTCTTACAATATCCTCCTTCTCTACCATGTTTCCATTACTTTCCAGTTTCCTCTGGCTTCCCTTTTCAGTTCTTTGACCAGAAAGTGAGATTGTACTTACCCTACTCTGCCATACACATGTCATGTGACTATACCCACATCCATGTCAAGGTGGTAAGAGGACAGAGAGACCAAAAATGTGACCGGGATTCAACCCATCCTCTTGGGACCATATGATTTGGTTTCCAATTGGAGAGGAAGGGTCCCTGCTCTCAGAGTTTTATGTGGCCCTTATTTCACCTCTGTTGTGACCAGTAAAACCCCTTTCCCACTCCCTGAGTCTGAAGGTCTCTCTGTCTGTGCTATACCTTTTCAGGGTTTGGTCTACCTTGAGTCTAGACCAGAGGATATGCTACAGGAAAAAAACAGTAAATTCAACACTAGTTCATTGGTGCTTCAAATTCTCTTCTTCCCCAGTCTGCCAGTTAACTGTTTACTTTTCAGGGTTGTCAGGCAGCTGCTGTATGCATTCTCTCCAGGTGCTAAACAGCATTTAGTAGCAAAGACAGATTGTGGTACACCTGTTACAACTTACTGAGAACTGGAATCCCTCTGGCTGCTTTTAGGATTTTTTCCTTTTCAACTGGTTTCTGATTTTCACCATGATGTGCCTATATGTAGTTTTTTAAATATTTATCTTGATTGACATTCACAAAACTTCTTGAATTGTGGGTTGATGACTTCCATCAATTTTGGAAAATTCCCTGTCCTTACCTCAAAGATTTCTTCTTCCTTCTCTACTTCTGGGACTGTAGTATACATATGATAGACATTTGATATTATCCTACATGTCTCCTATGTTTCATTCCTTTTTTTAATTCTATTTTTTTTCTCTCTGTGCTATAGTTTACATTAATTTCTGTTGACTCATCTTTGAATTAACTCATCTTTTTTTTTTGCTATGCCTAGTCTTTTTATTTTTACCTTAAACTAAAAAATCCTGAATGTAACTTTAAAGAACTTGTCCAGCTGATTGTATATTTTAATTTCCCCTATCTGAAATAGATGATGAAACCAGGCATAAATAATTACTACTGTATAATAATTTTTCCCCCAAAAAATTCAAATATTTTATTGGTTGAGGCATCTCCTTTTTCTAACCCAGAAGATTTTAAGATGAACAGATACTAGAAGAGGTGTTTATTTTTTTTCCTTCTACTGTAGCTGTTAAGCTCCTGTAGGAATAAGGAAGAATGGGGTTCATTTATTCATTTATTTAACAGATATTTATTGACTACTACCTTCCTTTTCCTTCCCTCTTTGCCTCCCCTTGCCTCCCTCCCTCTTGTCTTTCTTCCCCCTCTTGTCTTTCCTTCTCCCTCTGTCTTTCCAGTTTATTCAAAACCACAATAAGCATTTATTAAACATCTATTAACTATGTGCTGGCAATTTGCAAAGCATTAGAAAATACAAAAACAAAACTTGGTCAATAGCCTTATGGAATTTTATACTGTAGTAGGACAAGGCATAAGTAGGTACCACAAGGTATTGGAGATACTACAATACAAGTAAGTATATAGAACAGGAGAGGCACAGTAGGAAGAGCAATTTCTACCTCAGGTAGAAGGGATTAACAGAGAAGAGAAAACTTACAGTGAGTCTTGTAATGAATGTAAGTTGCCTGAAGAGGAGAGGGTGGGAAAAAAACGTTATTTCCCACCAAATGATTCATTATTGAAGGTAACCATGGCAAAAACCACGCCATTTATTTAAAAAAAACACAAGTGGCCCAGTAAGACTTTTTGTTATAAATCTTGGAGGAAATTTTTGTTTTTCTTATTTACCTCTTTCCTCCTAATTTTTAAAAATTTTCTTTAAAGGTTATCAACTGGCAAACATCTCTTCACATTCCACCACAAGCTAAACTGAGTCCTGAAGCTTCTGATCTTATTATTAAACTTTGCCGAGGACCAGAAGATCGCTTAGGCAAGAATGGTGCTGATGAAATAAAAGCTCATCCATTTTTTAAAACAATTGATTTCTCCAGTGACCTGAGACAGCAGTCTGCTTCATACATTCCTAAAATCACACACCTAACAGATACATCCAATTTTGATCCCGTGGATCCCGATAAGTTATGGAGTGATGATAATGAGGAAGAAAATGTAAATGACACACTCAACGGATGGTATAAAAATGGAAAGCACCCTGAGCATGCTTTCTATGAATTTACCTTTAGGAGGTTTTTTGATGACAATGGCTACCCATATAATTATCCAAAGCCTATTGAATATGAATATATTAATTCACAAGGCTCAGAGCAACAGTCAGATGAAGATGATCAGCACACAGGCTCAGAGATCAAAAATCGTGATCTAGTGTATGTTTAACACACTAGGAAATAATTTAATGAGGATTTGAGGAAAGGCCTGAAACGCAGGGTCTTTTGAGGCTCTGAGAATAGAATTATGCAAATGCGACAGCTGTGTATATGTACTCTGTGTACAATATTTTATGTTCCTAAATTATGGGAAATCTTTTTAAAATGTTAATTTATTCCAGCCTTTTTAATCAGTAATTTAGAAAAAAATTGTTATAAAGAAAGTAAATTATGAACTGAATATTATAGTCAGTTCTTGGTACTTAAAGTACTTAAAGAAAATAGTGCTTTGTTTAAAAGGAGAAGCCTGGTATCTATTTGTACATATGCTAAATAATTTTAAAAGACAAGAGTTTTTGAAATTATTTTAAAGACAGTTTTAGTTGTCTTGCTTTAACCAAATATGAAATATACCCCATATTTACAGAATTCCTTTTTCCCCCAGTAACCTTGTTGGTACAAAATAAGCTATAGAAATTAAGCCATCATGGTGGTGAGTGTTCCTAGGCTAATGATAATCTGTATAATTCACATCTTGGAACTAAGAAATACAGGGTTGAAACAGTATGTTCATCAGAAGAAAAAATAATGCAGTTTATCTTTTTTTCCCTCTCTGGGGAATATTCTGGCATTGATTTATTTTTATTTTTATTTTTTAATTTTGGTATCATTAGTATACAATTACATGAGCAACAATGTGGTTACTAGATACCCCCCATTGTCAATACTAGATTCCCCCCATATACCTCATTACAGTCACTATCTGTCAGCGTAGTAAGATGCTATAGCATCACTACTTGTCTTTGTGCTATACTGCCTTCCCCATGCCCATCCCCAACATTATGTGTGCTAATGGTAATGCCCCTATTTCCCCTTATCCCTACCTTCCCACCCACCCTCCCCAGTCCCTTTCCCTTTGGTAACTGTTAGTCCATTCTTGGGTTCTTTGAGTCTGCTGCTGTTTTGTTCCTTCAGTTTTTTTCTTTGTTCTTATATTCCACAGATGAGTGAAATCATTTGATACTTGTCTTCCTCCACTTGGCTTATTTCACTGAGCATAATACCCTCTAGCTCCATCCATGTTGTTGCAAATGGTAGGATTTGTTTTCTCCTTATGGCTGAATAATATTCCATTGTGTATATATGTACCACCTCTTCTTTATTCATTCATCTACTGATGGACACTTAGGTTGCTTCCATTTCTTGGCTATTGTAAATAGTGCCACGATAAACATAGGAGTGCATATCTCTTTTTGAAACTGGGGCTCCTGCATTCTTAGGGTAAATTCCTAGGAGTGGAATTCCTGGGTCAAAAGGTATTTCTATTTTGAGCTTTTTGAGGAACTTCCATATTGCTTTCCACAATGGTTGAACTAATTTACATTCCCACCAGCAGTGAAAGAGGGTTCCCCTTTCTCCACTTCCTTGCCAACATTTGTTGTTGTTTGTCTTTTGGATCATGGGCATCCTAACTGGTGTGAGGTGATATTTCAATGTGGTTTTAATTTGCATTTCTCTGATGATTAGTGATGTGGAGCATCTTTTCATGTGCCTGTTGACCATCTGAATTCCTCTGGCATTTATTTTTTAAGAATTACTGGCTTTAAATGAAACAAAGCACTACCATTTTTCTTTTCATATATATTTTTAATGCTGCTTCTAGTTTTAAAAGGGAACAGAGCTGCCATAAAGAAAATTTTTGATGCAAGAGCCAAGATCTTTCATATTTTTACTTCATAATTCAGAAACAGCTTCTACCATCCTATACAAATTTCAGTTTCATATGAAAGTTTGATTATAAATTACTTGTGGGTACTCACTAGAAAAGTACTTTTTCTCTATAGGAACAGTTTTGGTCATCAGTAATGTTAGAGATTTCCTCTTTCAGAACAGTGCTACATACACACGTTTTTGGCAAAGGAAAACCCTAGCTATTTGGCCATATTTTACCTCTAGGCAGATTAATTGGTGAAAAATTCATTAACTCTTAAGGTGGCCATTAGTAATCAGGAGTAGTTACATGGTGGTCTTAATAGAAAATTCAAATTCTCTTCCTTATTTAAGGTTAAATAATGTTTTTTAAATCATTCCATTATATGTAGGTTTTAAGGAAAACTCATGGTTTTATGCCAAAATACATTTAGCTTATCTTTTAGGAAGGAGAAAATGACTCTATTCTGACATTAGTAAAATCTGTAACTCATTTCCTTAATCTTTGCTGATACAGAATTGTTTTATCAAAACTTAGTATTTGTGGATAAAAGGTATAATTTTAGTGATTTTCAAGCTTTTAGCTTACTTCATATAAAAGCTAATGGAAATCATATATTTAAGTAAAATTAGAGGCAAAGCAGTTCCAGTTGAATTGGGGAGGGCAGAGATTTATTATTATATATAGCTTATACTTCCCACTTCTCTATATAGGTTTGGCCCTCTCAGAGCTCACTTATAACCCACTGTGTAATGGTGGGTCTTTGGGGTCATTGGTCCTTTTGAGAATCTGGTGAAAGCTGTGGACCCTTTTCCCAGAAAAGTGTATTCCAACACAACATGTATAAAATGTTGCATGCAGTTTTAGGGATTCTAGATGTGTTGAATCCTGTCACAAACTCTTGGTTAAGGACTGTCTGTTCTATAAGAACACTGATGTATTAAACTAAGAACATTGCTTTAGTTTATTGGTTAGTACTCAGATTAGCACATCTTGTATAAACACTGATAATTTATGACAGAAAAGGTCTGTACCATGTGATAAGATATCCCTAGGAATGTTCTCTCTTGCTGGTACAGCACTAAGACATTTTAAACATACCCTTTTGTGGGGACTGAAATTCATGTTAGGCTCGTTACAGGCTTGATAGAGAAATATTTCTGAAGGACTGCTAAACAGAATTGTAAGAAAATGAATGAATGAATAGCAGTCTTCACTTCATGGAACATTTGATTGATTCTATAAAATACTATGCAAAACAAATTCAAGAATTTTTAGCTTAGTACTCAAAATTTTCAGATACTCCTCTTATTCTTAGGCCTTTTCAATCTGATTTATTTCATTTTCCATTTAGTTGTTTTACTTCTGGACTATGGTGCAATACAAAAATCAACTTTGTTACATTTGTTATAGGAAAACTATGGTGCTGTCTCCTCTGCACAAAATCTGTGTTGCCCTTATTCCTTACATGTAACAGACACTACAAATTTTATATTCTTTTAAAATTTCCTCAGATAGTACAAGCTTTTTGTGTTTATCTGAAGCAATGTACAAGCCATTATTATCTGCAGTTTTAAGAGTTTGTTAATGCTTATTTGCATCTTATTCCCAAACTATATCCAGTTCTTCCAGTATACAATCTGGTGCTTCCTGACCTAAAAAATGAGAACATCAAGTCTATATATTTAATGTCAATTGAAATAGAGTGAAAACATTGGTTATACATGTTGTCTTCTTAAAGTAATTTTCCCACTCATTAAAAAAGTGCTATCCTTCTTACACTTACCCCTTTTTATGCATATCAATAGTATTTATAAAATGTGTCCTATAATATGTAATTGTAGATACTGTTATGTGTTGTCCAGTGATATCCTAAGGCAGGCCCTATTGCTGTATCTTTGCTACCTTATTTGAAATAGAAACTATAGAATGTATGACTAAGAAGTCACTTTGAGATTGACTTTTTAAAAAAGTTATTACCTTCTGCTGTTGCAAAGTGCAAAACTGTGAGTGGAAATGTTTTATTCTGACTTAATATGTTAAAAATTAGAGAATACAGTGGGGGATGTTTAGATATTGCTGCTGCTGTTACCTAAGGTACTTTAGAAATTTTTCTTGATAAAAATAAACAAAAATCCCTTTGGTATTTGAAGTGAAACATTCAGCCTGTTTCTTTTAATCTAAAAAAAGCAATTTGGGTCAACATATTGGTATATTTGTAAAGCGCCTTAATACATCCCTTTGTGGAAGGCACTGTACCACAGTTTACTTTTATTTTGTATTGTGTATATAGGTCTTTTGTATTAAAATTGAATCAATACAACAGTACAGTTTTATAAAATAATACTCTGTTAGGAAAATAAATCACAGCTTTGCAATATAACTGAATTGTTTTGCATACTTCTGAATGTAGTAGATACAAATAATCAGCCTGTGTTTTTAATGAATCTATTTGTATTTTCCCAATCATTTTCTCTAGTGTAACTTGCTGGGATGATAATAAAAAAAGCAAAAATTCAAATCTTTCAGTTATGTGTGGAAAGCTGACTTTTAAGTTGCTTAAGTATGTTTATTTTTTAATTCAAAATTTATATTTTTTATTCTCAGAAAATTTATGATGAAATATGTGATGCTCTGGAATTAAAATATATGTGACAACAATAAAACCTAGGTAGGTTACGGCAAACTGAATAGAATGAGTGTAACCCAGCAAAATGTTTCCCTTTTGCCCAACATGAGTACAGTAAGTGTTTCATGTTAAAGGCTTCCTTTAAATCAACACAGATTTAAACCTTTTAAATTATTAAACTCTGCATTTAAGTATCATTTGAGTCAGTTTATAATTTTTGAAATGTGAAGTTGGTGGCTAATCTCTTTTCCTTTATTTACATAATCCTTTATCACATGAACTGCTTACCAAATAAAAAATATGGTTCTATCTTAAATCAACTTCACACAGATGAACAAGTATTAGTTTTCTTTTTTCCTTTTTCAAGCATTATCATCATTCTTATGTCTCTCTTTATTCTCTTCTTCACACTCCCTTATAAAATTACAGTGATCTACGTGAGGCTATTGTATAGCTGCTGCAAACTGCATTATTCCTACGGTTCATTTACTGCATTGTGAATTCATGTTTGGCATGCTTAAAACTGCAACTATATCTTCTCCCAAAGCCAAACACATAGAATGTGTATCTGCTTAGTGTATGAAGGGTAGAAGGAGGATGTCAAATTTATGTTCTGAAACATAGACAATACTTGCCTCCCTAGTGTGCAGTCTTTCCTTCTTCCCTTAGAGTCATCCAGAGAGCCTGAACATTTTGCTGGATTCGTAATCTGGCTGAGACTTCGAGTTGTTTCCCTTGGAGAGGGGTTAAATTTGTTCTGTGGTGGGAAAGAGGGTCTCACAGTACCAAGCTCCCAGAGGGATTCACTGACACAGGCTGCTCTTGTTCCCTAGCGTCCATTCTCTAGTTCTTTTACTAATAGAGCTCCCAACCATGTCCAGATTTTGACTGATTAGAGTGCATGTTTGTCATGTTCCCTTGTAGTCAGGTGTAGCCTCATGACTAGGTTTTGGCCATTGGGATATGAACAGACATGATATGTGCAAGTTGTACTTCATACACTTAAATTTAATATTGGTTGCCTTCCACCTGTGCTTTCCCTCTCCCATAGGATGGAACATGAACAGAGTGGTGACTTTTCTTTTATACTGACCTTGAAAATCAGAAAACACCATAGTGATGGTGGATTAACAAAATTAACAGAACTGAAAGATTTTGTGAGGTGGGGCTGTTTGTCCAGCCTGGAGTGAATCTTGGCTGATCAAGTGCAGAACATTAAAGAAAAGAAAAAACAAATACATTTGTATTTGTTGAACCTATGCCCTAATTAATATGGTGTATAATATTTTCAGTGTGTAATCTGATTAGCAAAACAATTTAAGAAGTTAATTTTGTACTCTTATCATACAGTCATG